ATATATTAATATATCAGAAAAAATAGGATGTTTTAATTTTACATTATAGCTTGTCAGTGTCAGTAATTTGAATATCTAATTTGTAAGAAATGACTTTGTATTTGAACATCACAAACATCTAATTTGAACCAATGCTGCATTCAACATATCACGTGACACACAAAAATCAATATTTAGTTTTTTTATATTTACTTTTAAATTAAGAAACTAACTAATGTATAATACTAAAATATGAATTATAATCTACAATTTGATACCAAACTTACTGACATACATTCATAAAATAGTTCAATAAAATTTTAAATGCGATGACATGGCCTTTGACCCTCATCGGTAGGGTTACTGCATTTAACTTTATTTTGCAATTTACAAAAAAAGATACTTGCATTTGTTAGTGTTTTTGTGTGAATATTTATATATTGTACTAAAAGTTAAACCAGAGAGGTTGTTCGGGAAACCACAACTTCACTTGACACTATGTAGTTAAAAGAGGGACTTATAATAAAGTATGAAATATGGTAAAAAAAACCCTGATGCATCTGCTCTTACTCATAACTGTGTTTTTTAAAGGATGTGTAAAATGATAGTTTTTGTTGTTCTAAATAAAGATGTTGAGCATCTGTTTAATATAATTTGGTAAATATGTGTATGTATTTGTTATAGGAATGCTGTTTTTAACAAATGAAGACAGAAAGATTTTAACATATTACATTCCTGTAAGTATTCCATTTGATATCTCATACATACTGCTTATCAACCCAATGGATATGTAACACGTGTATCTTGTAGAATTGAAGCTAGGCCTAGAGGTTTATCTGGCTTATGAGCATGTTCATGTGGCATATTTAAAATAGAAATCTGCTAAAATTAAATATTTTGATTTTCAAAACTTGAATATCAGAGAATATTACTTCTTTGTTAAAGTTATATTTTTTCTTATTACATGTTTATCAAGCATTGTAACTACTATATACATATAGTTTATGGCCATTCTTTTTCGTGAGTGTTAATGTACAAATACATTAACATATATTGGAAATCATGATCCACATTTAACAAGATTCAATGAAGTGCTGATAGTTTGGAAGGGTTTTTTTTTCACACACTGAAGTATCAAAATGCAATTTTTACTTTATTGGCGGTCTAGCCAAAAAGTAAGTAGTAAAAGCTTTATCATTCAGCATCTGCCAGACCTGGGCAGTGTCAGATAGATGAAAATCCTGGTTACAAAAGTGTTTTTCTTATAATATTTTATGGCAAAAATATTGTCACCTTGTTAATGTTCTGAAGTACATCATCTGCACAAGTTTTAAACAATATAAAGGTTGTAAAAAAGCCTTAAGTTGTATAAAGCGTATATAAGTACAGTATTTTAAATGTGAATCACAGTGTAGGTGGGTAATGACTGAAGCTTGCCGGTTGGAAAGAATGTAAACAAGACCATAACACAGTGCTACTAAGCTACAATGAGCATTTGTAGTTGGAGATATTGAAATTTCTGGTTACAAGATCTTTCTGGATATGAAGATGTTAGACAATAAAGCTTGTACACAGCTTATTTAGTTTTGAAACATATCAGTTAACATTATTAGAATAAATTGTATGACAAGCAATACTAAATTACTGGAGTAGGCCCATGTGACTTTCTTTGTTCTAGTTAGTTGTTATTAGTTTGACAGTTATTTTAATACTTTAAGGCCCTCTCAAGTGTTCTGGAGAAATTATCACATTGTACATTTTATCTGAAACAAACCCCTTCAAGTAATTTTGTAAAATTTTTTTAGTTGTCTCCATTCCTTGTTAGCTTTTTTGCAAGATAAGGTAGAAAAACGTTTATTAATGGCTATATATTTTTTTAGTGGGCTATTTACAGGAACACTTACATCACTAATGAATTTATAATAGAATATACTTGGATAATAGTAATAGTTCAAAAGATGATGTAGTTAATTTGGTATTATGACATATATGTGGGCCCCAAAATGTTTGTTTTTGGTCAAGTTAGAATAATAAGATCAGAAGAGTTAAATTAATTTGTGTTTTAAATGTAAAACAGTAGTGAGTAACATATTTAATCCTGAACAACTTCCAACTGACAAGAGTTCAGCATAGTTGAAAAGAAAATTAATAAAGAAAGATCTGTAAAAAAAAAAAGTTTTAATGTGTAAACTTAAATTGATATTTTCACAACTGACTTTTCAGTGAGACTTAAAAAATCAGCTGCTGCTTGAAAGATTTAGGAGTGTTTTCTTGTATCTTTACTTTTTCAGTTTATTACTGTATTTTTTCAGTTGCGTTAATTGAATGAAGATGGGGCTTGAGTCGGATCATCACAACTTTTTCTCTGTTATTTTTAATATGAAAATATCTGTTTCAACTTTTCATATTTTAAAAACAAAAGTGTTTGTTGACATAATTCTTCTGTTTTTGTACTTTTGTCTAAACACAACAAATTATTTTAATTTAAGAGTTTAGGACCTGCACCAAGATGGTGCTCATTTTTAGACAGTTTGACAGAAGAATTGGAAGAGTCAAACCATAACACAGGTATGTTATTTTTTTATTAGTATTTATTTATTTAATATTTATGATTTCTAGTGGATTAAAATAACACATCATTATATAAATTAGTTGATAGCTTGTAAAAGTTGTAATAATATCCTTACCAGTTAACAATAACTTTTAAAGTTTTTCTGTAAATTATGTTTCTTTTACTAGGCAAATGAGCTCTTTCTCTAATTTTTTCTCATAGAAACCATTAAAATAATACATCAAAATATCAAAATTCTACTCGTATATAGCCAACCCTACTAATAATAAATTTTATTGTTATTTGAGGTTTTTCAACTTTAGAGATCTGTTGAAATATATTGTAAAATTCAAGTTATATTTTTCTTATTAAATGTAACAATCACACTATAAGATGAAAAATACAGTTATATACTTTTATCCACTTGCTAGTGTATGATGACTACAAGTTTGTCACAAGGAAAGAACTAGAAGATCTGGGACTGTTGCATCTTATTGGTTCCAATCTCTTAAGGGCATACATGCATGGTTTTTTCATGGATATAAGACTTTATCACAAGGTAAAATCTTTGTATATATGCAATATGCTTTTTTTTTAATATTTTTAAGTCTTTCACAAAGAATTGTTTAGGTAAAAGAACCAATTTTTTAATGTAGAAGATTGAAAGATTTAGAAGTGTTTTCTTGTATCTTTTCTTTTCCAGTTTATTACTGTATTTTTTAGTTGCATTAATTTAATGAAGATGGAGCTTGAGTCGGATCATCACAAGTTTTTGTATATATATAAAATATACTTCTTTTTTTTCTATTTCTTAAGTCTTTCACAAAGAATTGTTTATGGAAAAGAACTAATTTTTTAATGTAGAAGCTTTGAGATTTTTCTTGACTGTGTATTTAAAAAGAAAATGAATCAATAGCCAATTGATTACTATAATTTTGTGTCTCTTTATAGACTTAATCATCAAGAGATACCTAAAATTTAAAAAACTCTTATACATCCTAATTTTTGAGAAATAGATAACGTTCTTTTACTGCTAGCTAATTAGTCTTTGAAATCAAATACAACACAATATTCATAAATTATTTGTGAAAATTGAATTCTAGCTTTACAAAAAGAAAAGGCTTAAATTTTGTTTAGAATACCTAGACAAGCAGGTCTTGATAGAAATGAATAAAAAACCCAATAACCCGACCACTTTCAAATTGTGAACCTTTAATTAGATCCTGGAATCAGTAATCTCCTTTCATTGGTTTCATCTTTGTCAGAAAAATTATTTTTATTCTTTGCTTATTTGTTTTATGAAATGTGAATGATGAATTTCCTAAAACTAACTATTTATTTAAGAAAATTTTCCATACCTGTTTTTATAAATTTATTAGCATAACATATCTTTTTTAATCAGTCTCCAGGTGTCACCTTTATTTTACTTAAACACTTAAGTGAAATTTTAAATATATATATATTTTTTTTAGCCATTTTTAAAGTAAAATATCTATAACACTTTTTCACATACACTCTTGCCATCGGCTACATTGTACCAAAAATGAGATGCTTACAACAGTACATAAAGAAATATACTAAACATTTCCTGGAAAAACAGTTGACCTTCATGATGTCACTAAACTCCTTTTATATATATTAAATATATATATATATCACTCATTCAGTTACACCACCATTCCCAGTTTGCCCCTGAAGAAGAAAGGTCCACCTTTTCGAATGTGCTAGCTAGGGTTATAGGGTTTTTATTCATTTCGATCAAGACTTCTTGAACATATATTGAATAGACAAGTAAGTCTTCTAAGTAAATGAGTTTGCACTTTATGGTCTCTCTTTTTAAAAAATTTATAACCAGCCTTGGGAAGATGTAGGCATACCCAATTTTTGAGATCTCCTGTGTTTCTTAATTCCTGGATGGAAGTAAAAGAAACTTTGTTGTACTTATATATTCCTAATCTATTTTTCTGCAATATGTTTAAAATTTGTTGACATTTTTGTAAGTAGATTTACAGTGCTTCGGTAGCATACAAAACTAATTTCTACTGTATCAGCTGGTGGGAAAAAAAAAGCACTTAATAATGTTTTTCTATTGACTTTATTTTATAACATTCATACATAAAATGTTAAAAATGTGACTAAAAAGAGTCTGTATTCCATATGTTAGTATATGTTCTATTTTACTTTCTAAGTTTGAGAAGAATATCCAAAACATTTTTCAATGATAAACATTCTTCTAACCTATCTGGTTTGAATTGTGCACTAATAGTATAAAACATCTTGAGCTTAATAAAAGCTACTTTCAGAGTAGACTATCTGAAGTATTTTAAAGTAATTCATCAAACTAAGATTAATAAGTAGAGACTATAAAAAAGAGCACATATTAATGAAATTTGTTTCTTATTCCAAAATGGTGCATCACAATGCTAAATAAGTATGAGAAATGCTTAAGTGTAACAAATTCTATATCTATTCAACAAGCATTTTAAATCCCTTATGATTAGTTATTGAGTAGAAGTAAGCTGTAGTCTGGTATGTTAATTTTAATGAATTTATCCCTTATGATTAGTTATTGAGTAGAAGTAAGCTGTAGTCTGGTATGTTAATTTTAATGAATTTATCCCTTATGATTAGTTATTGAGTGGAAGTAAGCTGTAGTCTGGTATGTTAATTTTAATGAATTGATCAGTAGTCTCCAAGTTGAAACAACTTTGATGAACCTGTAGAGATTAAGGCTGTGAAGATTATGAATTATGAACACCATCTGTTGGTATGTTATGGATACTAGTGGTTTTTAGTAAGTTCCGTAGGTGTTTTATTGCCTTGTTATAAATTTCAGATTTTGGTTAACATCAAATAAAGAAATTTAAAACTTTCAACTATTTTTAACAAGCTACTTTTATGCCATTAATCTTGTATAGAGAAAGCACCAATTTTAATTTATAGATTATTTTGCAACAGAAATAGCACATAAAAAATCTACATTTTAAAAGTTAATGTTTTACTTGTTTCTATAAGAAATTTGCTTTCATAATGGAAATATGCTGCAACAAGATTTGTTCTCTTAACAAATTTTATGAACTTTGTTTTTTTATATTTTGTAGTTTTCCATCACAAGAATTTAATTCAAGAGTGTGGTTTTTGTTTTGATCCTTTAAATATTATTTGTAGAAAACCCAGGTTTATTGTCTTCTTTAAAAATTGGTGATATTTTTGTAATGTTTGCAAAATAAGGATATTTCTTTTTCATTAGGCAAAGGCTATAGCTAATCCATTTGCCTACGAAGATTACAGACGAAAGAAAATTAGAGAAACGATTGAGGCAGAGAGAGCAAATAGGGTGAAAGTTAATGTACGTATTGAAATATTACTTGTATGCATAATGTTTTAAGATAGAATTTTACTATAATGTTGTGTTGAAATACAATGACAAAAGAGGTGATTGAGGCTTATCAAATGTGGCGCCATCTATTGAAATAAACAAATATCCTTAAAAAAAATTTCACTCTTTGGGTATTCAAGATTCAAACAATTAGAAAAATAAGTATGGTATGTGCAACAACCATTTCTTTTTAACAGAACACCATTTCCAATAAAATTACTCTTCTCACTACAAGAACATGACTTTCACTAGGACTGTACGTGAGGGTTTGATTATATCTGTTGATGTAAGTTTTAAATGTATTACTGAAAACTGAAGTTCCTAAAAAACTTATTTTTTCAATAAAGGGTAGCGCTTTTAATATACAAAAATATTACAGTTTATATTAGTAAAATTTACAAACATTTTGAGCTCTATATATTGAATCATTTTGATGTAAGGAGTTGTGTATTACTAAAGAGCACAATCTCAGCACTTTTACTGTGCAATATTTCCCACACAAAATACTTTTTTTTAGAAGATGTTCACTTTTTTTCACAGTGGGGGTATGAATACCGAGATTACTGATTACTAGCACAAATAGCCACTCCTGGTGTGCCGTTTCAGTTAGTTATAGTTAAGGGTGACTTCACAATTCAAAGGATGTTTATAATCATGTTTTGTCCAGTTTTCTCACTGATTAATAATTTTTTTCGTTATAAAAAGTATTTTTCTGAAGGAAAAGAGGTATAGCAAATATTACACAAAAATTTAAAAAGCCGACAGATAATGTGTTTTATGAAATCTTTAGATGTGTAACTGTTATATATTTGTAGTAGCCAAATAGAAAATTTAACCCTTGCTTTTCACTTTCAACAGCATAAATACAGTTATTGCTCACTTTGTTTGCTATCAGATAAGAAAAATATATAACAGAAAAATTTAAATTTGTAACTTATTCATTAATTAGCTTAGGATTTACTTGTACTTATTCAAAATCTTTACCTGAGTGACATCTTTAACCCTTTAAAGCTCAGTGTTAGGTATACTGCCAACTCTGACCTTGCATTAATAAGAATTGATAACTTGTAAAGTCACTATTTGAAACACATGGCCTAACTATGAGACCTTTTAAAATATAAATTTTTTTAGGTTAATTTATGATTCATATTACAGTAACAACCACTACATAACAGAGCTATTTACTAAGTCATTATGCATGATCCCTGTAGTTGTTGACCAGAAAGCCAATTTTCATACACACATTATAGTAGGCCTAATGAGGTCATGTGCTGGACCATTGTTTTTGAAAGAAATGGTGTGATGAAAGAGGGTTAAACGCATTAAAATTAATGTAAAAAGATAGAAATTCATTCACTGTATCTTATACTTAAACGTTATGTATGTTCTTTTACTAACTCTGTACATATGTTCAAAAAAATAAGACACTTTGTCATATTTGTTAGCTTTTCCCAGCGGAAATCATATGAAGTAATGAATCTGTTGTCTCTCAACTTACAATAGTTGGAGTTCTTGTGTACAGCAATTTAACTGCCAAAGCAATTACTTCAATAAAATAAATGAACATGGAAGAAAACTCGTGAAGTTAATTTGTTGCCTTTGTATGGAATTCAAACAATATAAAAACATTAGTAACTTACAAAACAGAAGCCTGGAAAGGGCCTTGGGGCACCTTGAAATATAAGAAGACATTTTACAACTTTACAATCTGGTGTATCTACACAGGAGTTAAGGGAGCCCTAGAGAGCAAACAGATTGTGGTAAAGAAATAATCCAAGGCTTCAAACAATATATTTACAATTTTATTAGCTACAGAACCTGAAAACTATAGAAAACAAAGTGTGGAAAGTTGGATTTTATAGTTTTTGATATCAGTAGCTTCAAAAATTCACATTTTCAAACTGTTTGAGCAAAAAAGTAAGCAACAGCCATGTGCAATGTTTACAAATTTCTGGCTTTGTTTCACACATAGGTGAGAAATTTAAGGATTTCTGCCATCTCCATAATAATTACAACAGGAGTCAAAAATTGGATAGTAGGCTTAAGAGTTTAATTTCTTTTAAATTACTTTGCCTGAAACATAAGTTATCATGAACCACTACTGTGGTTCATAATAGGAATCACCTATACTTTTTAAGTTATTTCAGCATTTTTCATAAACTAAAAAAATCATAATTCTAGTGTAAACGATGTTATCATTATCCCTTGAAGTTAGTTTTCTTACAAATATATGTTGTTCCTTTAAGAAGCTTAAGTGCAAGGTGAAACAAGAATTACCAGCCAATAACAGATGAACATTAGATGATTGTAACATGTACACACATAATGCTTTGTACACTATACAATCAGTATCTTTAGGGAGCCAACTCCTATATTATGTATGAAGTGAAGTAGTAAAAAAAAAAAACTACACACAATATTAAATTTTATTACACACATTCATAGAATAATTACTTTAAAAGACACAAAGATTTATTTAAAGCCATATTTTAGATGTACATGTTTTATTTAAAACGTCTGCTTTTCTACTGGTAAAATGTTATGTGTGCTTAGTAGGGGTTGTGTCTGAGTCTAGGCATGTATATACCCATTGCTATACCTTATATGTATATAAAAAATTTAGTTACACAAAAACTATAAATGCTCACTATACTCTCAAACAAATCTCCATGACAATTTCCAACTGCAGCTAATGTGATCAGGTAGTTAATAGCTACAGTAAATCATCATGAACTGTATCAGCTAGTTTCTTACAGCACATATCTTTAAGCCATAGTTTAAAAGACATCATCAAGCTCAGTTTGAGCTGTTAGCTATAATTACATTTGGTGGAGTCAAAATAGGGATTTGTAGCTTGAGTAAATAATGTCTACAGTATCTCCGGCCTTATTTGCTTACCTTGTTTACTATCCCTATTTGCAGGTTTTTAAATTCCCAATTTTTTTCTTATCTTGTGTCTCAAACCTTTAGCTTGTTTGTTTACTTTTTTTTTGCAACTGCATTTTCACTTTAAGCTATCTTGTTTCTGCATTTTTTATTATCCCTATTCCTATTCCCCATTTTTAAATTAACGATTTTTAATAATTTTGTAAATCTTACATGTACAGTAATTTTTAGAACTAAAATTTTATTTATTATTATTATTTTTGGAGGTAATGTGGAAAAAGAGATCACACGGAATTTTTTAAAACTTGGTATCATCATTTTGCTCTTGTAAAAATCAGACTGGAAAGGGTTAAATTGATATTTTGACACTAGAGACAATGCCTTTAATGCATGGTGTTGAGGTTGTGACTTTGAAGACATGTTGTAAATAACCAGAAGGGTCCTGTGATTTAAATACCTGTTCATCTCAGTGTACACTAATACATACCAGTGACTTTGGTTATTGCTTTTTTTTGCCTTTTATTACTTATATATATATATATATATATATAATAAATCCAGAATGCTTTTGCTACTATTGAAAGCCAATGTTTTGCATGTTTAAGGAACTGAAATCTGTGAAGGTAGTAGTCCTTATTTTGTCATGATAATTTTTCAGTCTCTGAATATAAAGTATTATATGAGAATATTCTAAATAAACTTGAATATTCTTTACTAAATATGAATTGTTTTACAATTGACCAGCACACTCTCAGAATGTTGTGTTTTGTATTTTGCCACTAGAGCCCCGATTTAATAGGAGGTGGGTTCACCTCTGGCATTAATCACAACCTCTACTTTGTCACTTACACTTGCCACCACCAGCCATTGGTATTTATCTAGTGGAATAGAGTAGGTCTAAGTATAAAGAGATTTCTTAAACTTTTCAGAGGGATTCCATTGATTTGAATCAGGAATCTCAATATTTACTTCAAACTACTGGACATGGGATGCAGTTTAACCTAATCCATTATTATCATAAATAATTGTCTTTCCTTATAAAATTTCATCATTGCAGGAGGTGTAGTAACATCTAAAATGTTACTGTACAGTAACGTATTTATGACTTCCTTAGACATTATTAGTGGATCAAGGTAAATCCATCTTAAACAAACTCAGATTATAATACCACTCTGTCATTCCTCATGGTTAGGGCCATCCATATTCAAAGTATTCTTTACATGTTCACCAAACCTAGGCCTGTTCATCCAAAGCAACAATGAGTAGCAGGGTTCACACCTTCATATGATGGTTTTTCCATTGCTCTTCACCCTCATTTCAATGGTCTGGGCACCATGTGGTTTGATTCCTTGAATTTGGGATTTGATGAATGATTTATGGATTGCAGCCTGTCTGTGAAATACAAGGGCATTTAAGTTCTGAATGATGAATATACTGATGTACAGTTTTTGTTCACAACATGTTTCAAAGTTTACATGCATTAAGGATGGATTAACATGAGTACATCCAGTGATATTTCACTTCTGTAACATATTATTCATAGGAGAGTTGCATATGAATAAGCATGTCAAATGTTTTGACACTTAAGTCACCTACACTACATCAAGTAACCATTCCCCTTTGAATGTCTATGAGCTACTTTCTTTGTGGTATATTAAGTTCATCTGGTTGCTTGTGTCATCTGCTAAACTTTGTAAACCATTCACAACAGTGCATTATGGGATTCAAAAAGGTTGGACCGTTTAGTAGTTTATGTGTGGTGGCTGAATACTGTTAATATTTCTCATACATAAAATTTGATTTGATTTAGTTACAACATTGCAATTTTCAAGTTTTACCACAAATTATGAATATAACATCCATTTTGTAATATATAAAGGAATTTTACAGAACCTAAAAATATAGCTGTCAAACTACATCGAATTATTACTTTTTTTTCACCATAACTTTTTTATCATAAGCTTATAACAAAAAGTTAATGTATATCTACATGTAGAAATATTCATTATAATAATAATAAAAATAATGTGGTAATCAGTTTAAACCAGTATTATTTATAACACCAATACTGAAAATTCCTCTGGACATGTAAGAATCATACATTTTCTCCTGAGATTAGTTTCCAAAGTACTAAACAGCTCAAGACCATGTTTCGGAAAAAGGGGGAAACTAGATTGTTTCTGTTATGGCATTACTTTCTCTCAGCAGAATTATATAATTTCTAAATATAATACATTGATTTCCAGAAACTTACCATTACTATTTGAAGATAGATTTAGGCAATATCATCAATGTTTGGGGAAGATTTTTGTGGGTAATTTCTGTCTTGGTGGGCTGAAATGTCACCAATAAATAAAAGGTAAGAGCTGTCCACATAAAACTTTCCTCAAATTCTTTGTTATATTTAATCCAGTTTTTTTTTTAATATGGTGGATAGAGGTATTATTGATAAATTAGTATAAAAACTTTGTTGTCTAAAATTAGTTTATCATGTCCCTCTTGTACCTTTTTTTTTAAGAGCTAAATTTGTCTTTTTAAAAATAAGCAACAATAATGATCTTTATATTTTTATTAAGGGTTCACGTTAGTTTAAAAACTGTGATTCAGTTGTTATTAAGTGCTTTTTAAAGTCAAATTGTTAAAGATTAGTGGATTGACACGTTTTTTTATATATCGTGATTTTTATTCTGTTTTTGAGTTAGTGCATGTGCAAAACAATAAGAAACTGTGTTTAAAGAGTTTGTATTTTAACTGAAATTAGAAATTATAACAGAAAATTATACAAGTCAAAGCTTAAAAATCAAAGATTCAATGAACCTTATAACAAAGAATTTTGAAATTATTACTCGTGAGTTGGAATACCTTGAGAAATGTTGCCAACCACTGGCAAAAAAATGTTTATATTTTCATTAAAACTACCTATTTTGAGAGTGAAATAAAGTCTAATTCAAAAGGAAAAGTTAATCTTTTGGGTACTTCTATAATTAACCAACCTTTTCAACTGATTTTTAGTTCTAAGTGTTCAAGATTTTAATTGATCCATGATATCCTTCCCCTAGAAACTTCCAGCTGTTAATAAAGAACTGGCTAAGAAACTTATTGATAAAGAGGAAGATGAAAAAAATAAAACAAAGGTAAGTATTTGAAAAATGGAATTTTTTTTGTTTAATTGCCCAAAATTTATACTTCTGTGTTTGGTATGGTTGTGTAGCAAATGGTAATAAACATTAAATATTAAAAAATATTACAAAAATTTAACAGTACTTGTTACTTAGTTTACAATCATATATAACTTTAACATTTAAAAAAGCATGTAAGAAACAGTTCTTTTGCTACCAATTGATATATGTAGCTTCAAAACCTAAAGAGTCTGGCCAAGTAATAATAATAAACAAAACAAAGTAACTACATAAAAAATACTATAATAATGTAGGATAATGAACAGAAAGGAAGAACAATTAACTTCTTAAGTCTTAGCAGTTGGCCATCTTCGGAGAAAGGTATAATATACAGATAGTGAGCATTGTTAATTATTTACACTTGTCTCTTGAATGTGTGATTGTCATATGAATGTGCAATAACCAGTTTTTCACATGTAGTAAAATGAAGGGAAAGAATGTACCTTAAGAAATCAGAAAGATCCACTGAAAGCTGTCTAAGTTGACATGCTTTAAAATGTATTTTTAAATTTTATTGGGCAAATCATCATAAGAAAAAAAAATTCAACATTCCAATTGAAAGCTGGTCAAATGACAGAGAGGAGAATAGCTAGCATTACAGAATTGGGGGAGGATCTTTATTTCAAAAAAAATGTAGACTTTTTTTTTCTAGAGAAAGAATAGCGATTTATCTTAGCCTAAATGAAACTTATGGAATGAAAGTATTCAAAATTTCAGTGAGAAAAAAAAAAAGTAGCATAACTTACTTCACAGTAACAATCTACAGTATTGTAAATGGCTTTCAAGAATATTTTGGTTGTTGTTTGACACCTCCCCTGACTATATGCTAGCTGAGGAGCTATGATCTTGTGTTATTATTATTTATAAGGTGATCTTCAATTTATGTTTGAACAAATACACCCATTTTCACAAAAATAAAAAGCTTGTCATTCAGCTAGTAAGAAGGTGAAGGGTTTGTTTGGGATTTATTTATTATACTCTTAGAATTTCTAGACTTACTATTATAGATGTAGTTTTCATTACAATTTAATGCTGGTTTCTTTTTGTACTGTTCACTTCTGCTTTTTGTTTGCTTATTTTCATATAGCACATTTGATATCCATTCATCATATTTTGTGATGCCACAACTCTGAGTGACAGATTCTTTCTTATCTAGTATTAAGCAGTAAAAGAAGGAAGGTTGATCACTTTTTGATATCTGTGTTAAATCTTCATTTTTAATAATCCTTCCTAGAAATGCTGTTAAACAACCAGTTAATTGTCTGACCTTTGCTATTATTCATTTCATCTTTTTTCCCCCCTTTCTTCAACCATAGATTTATTTGAAAAAATGTTATATTATAGGGAACATAATCAAAAGGCATTTACATACCATAGAAGACCAAGATCTGTGTTAATTTATAAACCCATGGCTCAGATTGTTTCTGTTTCAAGGCAGAATTAAGTAACACATTTACATGTGAGAGTAGTAAAATAGATTTGATTGTATGTTTTAAGATAAGTATTCTTAGTTCATAATATTAATGCTGTTTCTCATAGTATATCTATCATATGTATATCTGGAGTGTATTTATTAGATTATCACCTCTTTAAGCATGTTTTAGTTGTTGGTAGGAATCTTTACTCCCCTATGTGATTGGATTTTCTCCATGAAAGAAGGCTTTTTTTTTCTTTGGTTAATTCATTATTCCATATTGTTTCTGTATTATTTGTCATTTGAAATTTTATAGAGCTTAATTATGTATTTTGCTTAATTGGTAAACCTCAGAGTTTTAACTTCTCCATCTGGGAGTTTATGTACTACTATTGTATCTTATACACCTATTATTTTAGTTACACCTTACATAGTTTTCGTTTTTTTTAAGCATGTGTTTATAGATTAAAATGTTTCTGAAGAAAGCTTCAATAAACAGTTGAAAAAGTGTTGTATTCCTTGTGTTTTATGTTTATCCTCCCTTTGCTTTATCTCCTATTTAGTGTACTTAAGTATTTTCAGTTTGTTTTTCTAGCCTACTTGCTTCATCTATGTTTTTGTTTGTTTGGAATGATGAATTGTTAGAATATTGTATTTTAATACCAGGATTGAAAAAAAAGGTTTACATTATGTTCCATCTTTGTTAATGTGACATAATCAGGTTATTTGATGATGCCACTAAGACAGGTGAAATATGACCATGCAGGTCTTATAATTTCAGTTTGTCTTTTGAAATATTCTTTTTATGTGTGAAATATTTTTTCCTATTATTTTTCTCTGTACAGGTAAATTAATTAAAACTTCATGTATACACCAGATTCCAATTTTATTCTTGCCAATTATTCTCTCTATAAAATAAAATTATATCACGCTGTTAGCAACTATTAAACAAACTAAATTATTTTCAAAATTCTATTTTAGATTAAAAGAATAATCTCAACTTAATGTTAGTTAATTTTTAAAACATCGTCTATTAATGAAATGTATGTTAATGTGTGTCTGTATATCTGTTTCAAATTGACACCTATTATATATTATAAATTAACCTGTCAAAGAAATATGTGTACGCATAAAGTACATGAGGTATGATCTTATTAATTTTTATTTATATATTTCATTTGTAGAAGGGACCAAACTTGCTTGAAGACAATCGATTTAAGGCCATGTTTGAAAATCCAGATTTTGAAGTCAATGAAACAAGCGAAGAATATCGAATGTTAAACCCTCATATTACCAAATTAGACAAATCCAAGAAAAAAAACAACAAGAAAAGGCATCAAATACATTAACAGGCCAGTTTGAATTACTTGAAGTAAGGATAGTTTAAATTTTCATTTCTAACTTTTAGATTTTCGTTATCAAAGCTTTCCAGCAAATAGGATTATCGTATTTTAAGTGATATTAAGAAGTGAAAAACATCATGGACAGTTTATACTACCTGTAACATTTTCTTAAATTAATAACTTTGTTGGCAGTAGACAATTAAATAGTTGAATGTAATAGCTATGCATGTAGAAAGTGTCTCATATTTAGCAAATGTCAGAATCATAATTTTATTTAGTTTTTTTTATAGTTTTAAGCTTAACATTTATGATTAATAAAATAATACTGTTGAAGATTTGAATGCATGCATATTGCTAGTGTGTGTGTGTGTAACTCTCATCCTTTAACGCTATTATCCCCTGTCTAAGTTTGGCAGAAGTCATGCAAATTTACATTTTGTGTTATTAAGTCTTCTTGATTTTTTTCAAAATATTTTCAGCATTTTTTTATGATGAATACTTATTACAAGTTGGGGGGTGTTCATATTTCTGTAGTATGCTGATACTCCCAGATTTGGGAATTAGTCATATAACATTAACTATTTTATTGCTATGCGAGTTTGAAATTATGTACCGCCATGAACAATGGGCATTCCCTTTGAAACTTGCTAAAGTTTACCACTTTTAAGTTTCATATAAGTAAATAAATATGGAAACATATGTTGTTTTAATATTATTGTGTATCTCGTATACACTTGGCACTGGAAGAGTTATTTGTTTATTTATAAATGTGGTCGGGAAGGAGTTAATGATTTTCAATGTTCTGTAAAAGTTGGTGGGAATATTGTCTGTAGCATAAAAAAAGTATTTTTTAAGGGTACCGGTCTCGTTAATTTTGATAGTTACTCTGATATTGAACAAAGCTAAGTGTAACTATACAAAATGAACAAATTCCAAAATGGTTTTACCTCCTTTCATCCAAAGCTACCTCAATCCTGGATTGCCCTCTAAGCATTAGTCATCTAACTGTCTTTAACTGCTCGAATCCACTGTTCTTCATATTCCAACTGCTCCAGTGTCATGTCCTTTTCTTCAGTTCATCCATATGGTTTGTGTGTCTCAGTTCCGGGTGCTGCCATATGCTCCATCTTCGATTCCATGTGTTTTGTCAAGTGGTATGATCTTTTGTCAGTAATTTTTACTCGTTGTATTTTCAGACTCTCCTTTTCATGGATTCCTGCTCCCCTCTTCCCATGCCCAATCAATCACACCTGCTCACTTCTTCAGGAAGTTAATCGGGTGGGATTTTCTGATCCAGCTGGAGAGGTCCATTCTTAACCCCACTCAATCTCTTATTCCATTGGGGTTTTTTCTTCCATTCCCATCTTCATCGGGCCAGGTCTCAATGGCCCTATGTTCTCCTTTTCTTTTACTATCTAAGTTACTGTAGTTTAAATCTATGTGATTGTTACATATGTGGACGAATTATGACGTGTCTGTTGGCAACAGGCTGGTTATGAAAACCCTCAAGATCACACTTATGTCTATAATTTTTTTTCTTCATCCTACATAACCAAGATGCTTTCCTTTAGAAGTAGTGCTATACCCCACAGGTGTGCTTTCATTTCATATTCGTGCACACCTTTTTTTTCATTGTGGTCACTTTCCACTTGTCTGGATTTTTGATGCACCTTCCTCGGCCCCTCCACCTTTGCAGTGTGGGATTCTAGCTTTGGGTGAGAGAATGTAAGACATTTTCTTACACTGAATATGTTTTTCTGATAGGTACTTATCTCCATTCACCCACTCCGCACCTTTCCTCCCCACTGATATGCTAATGTTTCTGGTTTGTACCTGCCAATTCTCCAAAGTGGGGATTACTCTAGAATAGTAGAGGGAGCTGGCTGTGCTAGTATAGGGAGTGCAGTATGATTGGTGGAGGGTAGTCACATAATTAGTACATGTTCTGAAATATCATGAAACAGATGGGGTATAAAAGACTGGTGCACTGTTAGCAACAAATTTTAGCAATGCTTAGAGGCCAGTCCAGGATTGAGATAGCTTTGAGTGAACAGAGGTAAGTACCTATCGGAAATACATTTTCATTAAATGTACTTGAGTTGCGTGTACCTGTATAGAATTTTGTGTATAACCTCTCTCTCTTCCCCCCTCACACTGTTTAGCTTATTTTTTTATCAATATCATGAATGGTTCAATGCCTTAAGCTTTTTTTGTGTGTGAAAGTTTTAAGTCAGCTTCTGGTGTTTACAGTGCTGCTGGGTTATGATTATTTTTATATGTAAATAAAATTGTAAGCAATTTTTTGAATGGATGGTTAATTTTTTTTTTACATCAACTTCTAAATTTTACTTCAAAGGCACTTTATTAGTCATGAGTTCCAAGGAATTTTCCAAAGTGTCTGAATGTTTCTGTGGGCAGTGTTTATTGGTATTTTAGCTTTTTTTTCCCATTTGATTAGTTGATTGATAGTGTTGTTTTTATTTTAATATTAATGTGTTTCTTACTCGTGGTTAAAGCTCTAAAAATTTTTGATTTTTTTAATTGTTTCTAGCATGTAATCTATTAAAAAAAAAAGTGAAGTTTTTAAAGGTCTTTAATGGTCTCCAATGTAAAATCTATAATATTGATAATAACAATAATGTGCAATCAGAGTTAGCTTTGTACTTCAAACAAATATGTTGTTTAAAATACTTTTCTTATGTATCTATATTCAAAATTAGAAGGCATTGGTTCATAAGTTAGATGGTACCCTTGTTGTTTATGATATTTTCAGCCTCAGTTGTAAGCCTAATAATATCTCATGAGGTTGGAACAGCTTAGGAGATTTAGGTTAGTCCTAAATATAAATACTGAGGTAAAAATGCAAATCAGTCTTAACAATATGAGTGTAATAATAAAAAATAAAAGTGATTATACTTGGTATAGTAATTAGTACAACAAATGTGATTAACGAAAGGAATAACAGATAAACAAAATAGCATATCTTACATAGAGAACACAAAAACGGTAGTTTCAAACTTGAATCATGGTTGTTGATGTTTATTTCTTTGGCAACTTTCTCTCTTTTTTAATGCCACACTTTACTTCATACTCAAGCCATGCAAAAAAAAAAAGACATTATCAATTTGTGAATAAATACATTTATTGTGATCTGTGTTATAATCTAGGGAGATTCTGAGAAAAACCAAGAGTCTTCTGACTCTGATGAAAGCAGTTCTGATGATGATAGGGCTTGGGCTCAGGAAGTTAAGAAGACTTATCGTTCAATTCGTCGACAAGAAAGACTCAAAAAAGATGAATCAGATACAGATGTTCATTCCCAACCAAAATTCTATGAACTTAAAGAAGGCCAGCAGTTTTCTAGCTTCAAGAAACCTGGAGTTAAAATGATGTCTGAAAACAGCATGTATGTTTATGTTGTTTATCGTACAACAAATTTAAAAAATAGATACTTTAAATTTTCAAACTGTAGAAAACTAGAATATAAATGAATTCTAGTAATGTTTACCACTAATAATGATTTTATTCTTATTACATAACTTTTGGCAGGTTCTTTCTTTTATTACTTGTTGTTTTTAAGTTAATTAAGTACCACCAGCAATAACATGAAAATTGGAGTTTTCATTCTTAAGCTTTACATTTGTGCTATGTTGAAAACATTGGTGTAATTTTTATCTTCAAATTAGGTAGATATCAAAGTTTACTATGTTGCATAGACAGTTTTGTGAATCTGTGTTTAATATAAAAAATAATCAAATTTAAAGGTGTGCTGATTAATCAGAAACTGATAATTGACTGAACTGATTAATGGATGTGAAATTACACTAATTACTATGGAAGTAAGTTTTAAATTTTATTGGCAAAAAATACTCAAAATTGAAAACTAACTATTAACATGAATTTCAATTTAATCAACAGTTAGATGTATACTACAGTGTTTTGCAGAATAAATTAATACAGAAAAAAAAGCACATTTAAAATGAAAAATTGAGTACTGTAGTCTTTCTTATACATAGTTTAGCTCCATTTAATTGAAATCACATAAATGATGAATACAAATTAACAATTGATCTCATTATCAGAATACCAATTTGAATTATTTGTTTGCATTTTCATTGCTATTAATATATGAAACACTAAATAAGGTAATGAAAAAAAAGTGTATTAAATCTAAAACGAATATTAAATATACTAAGCTTGCAGTTTACTTGGAGTGTAAATAAATATGAAAGTGAGTGGAATGATTATGCATATTTCTTGGTTGTTTGTCAAATGTACCTCTGTTCACTTTCTTTAAAGGGCTACCTTAGGTGAACGACTTGAGAGTGTTGAAAAGGAAGATGAAGCTGTCAGTCAGAGAGATTTATCGAGTGGTAGCCGTACAATGACATTTACATTAAAGAAGGTAGATAAAAAAACAACAACTTTTTTTTTGTACCTGTAAATCAAAATCTACCTGGTTCTTACCTTTTGTTTTATATCCATAAATTAACCTCTGTCTTGCTCTTTATGAGAATTTTGCCAACTGGTTCTAATTTTTGGTTTTGAGATGATATATTCTCATGACGGTTGTGATCTAAGAAATAATTTATAAGCTGTAAATATACACGTTCACAGACATGGACAGAGCAGGAAAGCATTTAAAACAGTGAAGGAAAGTTTAAAGAATCCACTTAACATCTTGAAGAGGGGGAAGGAGCTCATTGGGAGTGAACTCTATATTCATTACCTTCATCTTGACATGTGCACACAAAAAAAAGACAAGCTTTGTATTTAAAATGAGATCAAACAAATAATAGCTAAGTTGTAGTCCATACATCTAGCATTGTTAAAACTTCTACTTCAAAGCTGAGATGTTCCTACTACAGCAATTTGTTAGTTAAAATGCAAAAGATAGAGTGTGAGGAATTTGTAGAAGTAAATGTAGACAGAAACAATTCTGCAGTCATGTTTTTTTTTATTCTATTTATAGCTAGTTTCAATTTATTTTGAAAGGTTTCTAGTTTGTGTAGAATGTTGGGTTGAATAGTTTGATTAATGTGAAAAGCTGTTTTATTCTAATAGTGTGCAGAAATGTTTGTTTTGATTATTTACTGGGACTAATTGTTTTGATGCTTTCAAAAGAGTAAGCAGCAAGTGAAAAGAGAAGAAGAAAATAAACGGCACTTACAAGAAAGAAGAACACTTTCTAGATCAGCAAAAGGCATCATGAGTAAGCCAAGGTCAAAATCCTGGCAACGTTCTGGTGGAAGACTTAAATGATGTAGTTGTGCTACATTATTATGTAAAAAAATGATGTGTACAAACAAAGAATTTCATAAAATCAATAAACATACAATTGTTATCTACAAAAGCATCATTTGATTTTTTCCTTATATTTAATTAGCTATTTAACCACTTGCTTCATAGTTCGCTGATGAATAATTAAATGTCATCACTCCAGTTTTGGGTTACATACATTCACTTTATGAATGGTTTGATTGCTGTTAACTCTAGTTATTTCATCACTTTCTTGTGATAAAAATTAAATTATTAAGTATTACCTTTCTAGTTATTAGTTCCATTTCATTCTGTTTTAAAGAGATGTGTTAATTTTATCTTTTAAGCTATGCCATTAATTGATTTCTTTAATTTAACAATTTCTTTAATTAATTTTACATTTTTAATATATTTAGCTACTCTTTTCTATAGTTTTTCTCAGTGTAATCATTACAGCTATTTCTAATTTTTATTTCATTAACATTTACATACATATTAAACTCCTCAATCAGACCCCCCCCAGCTCTTCTTTTTTCAAAAGAAAACAATTTCAGAGATCTTAATCTCTCCTCATATGACAACCCCTCTATCCCAGTCACCATTCTAGTAATCCTCCTCTGAACTCTTTCCAATGTCCTTTCTAAGGTAAGGAGCCCAAGACTGAACACAATACTCCACGTGTGGCCTAAACAGTGACCTATACAATGAAATTATAACCTCTTTATACTTATATTCAATATTTCTGTAGATACAACATAAAATCCTATTTGCTTTATCACTTGCAACAGCACACTACTTGGATGGTTTAAAAGACTGATCAACCACATTAT